TAGTTGCACCAAACTATAATAATTTGGCTGGGCGTCGCACACCAACCATATATATATATATATATATACACAGAAGAAAGAGGAAAATAAGTTAAGATTTGAGATGAATTAAAATTAATAGGTCAATAGTTTATATAAGTTAATAAATAGGCTAAATTACTATTTTTGTTCATAACTTGTCTGGTTATGAACCATAACTTGACAAGTTATTGTCCATAATTCACAATTTTTGTCCATAACTTGTCTGGTTATAAACCATAACTTGACAAGTTTGTCCATAATTTATCTGGTTATGAATCATAACTTGACAAATTATGCCATATTAATTTTTATAACTAAAAATTAGCCTATATACTTTCTTAAGCTTTTCATATTGACCTATTTTCTGCTATTTGTGTGTGTGTGTGTGTGTGTGTGTATTGATGAGGAGATGGAATATGCGTTTTAGGTAAGTTCTTATTATATTCACTATAATAAAAAAATGAAGGAAAAAAATGATAGGAGGGTAGAATAACTTAATTACATTGATGGTCTATTTCAAGATTAGAAAACAACAAGGACAAAAATTACTATTCATGGTGTATTTTTATATACTATATATCCCACATGACAATTAGCAACCTCATGCCATAAAGTCAATGAAGTTGAGTTATTGATGTTTTGCTTGACAGTGGATCAAGTGTCAAATGACTGACTGAAAGAGTGGGACATATATCCTTCTTTTTCCAAAAGAAAACAAAAATTAAACTCTAAATAAATGGTAAAGTCAAATTGAATATTACCCCTGCTTAAAAGAAAAGAGTTAGTATGGTCTTTTTTCCATCCAATTTGTTGTACGTTTTTGCCGATTAGTTGTTGCTAAATGATATTAACATTCTTTCATTTGGGGGTAAATCTTATTGGTTTAAACTATCGATGAAAAGGTAAAACTCAAATCTACTATATATCCTAACTCACGAAAACCTGAACTTATAACGTAAAATTTATCAATAAACAAATGTCTCTAATGTTAAAGTATAAAATTATTGTTAGTTTACATCTTAATAGTTTAAGCTTTTAGCTTAAGTTTTTGAAATGAATTGGTAAACTAACATGGTATCAGAACTGGAGGTCTTGAGTTTAAACACCCGTAATTATACTTTTTATCCATATTTAAATTGTCATCATGTGTTGGGTCTTTAATATAGTCTCGGGTTTAAATATTCACGTGTTGAGCTTTTTAATTAATTTACTTACACGATTGTCCATTGTTCAGCCCACACGTGAGGGAGAGTGTTAAAGTATAAAATTATTTTTAGCCCATATCCAATAGTTTAAGTTTTTAGCTTAAATTTTTAGGATGGATTGGTAAACTAATATCTAAGTTCAAACCCAAAACTATAAAATGCATTCCCTATGATTTTAAATCATCTAAAAAGTTTTTTTTTCTTTTTTCTTTTTGGTTGAATTCTGATCAAACTGACAATATAAAAAAAACTAAGATGTTCTAATTAATGACACTCTATTGTTGCATGTCTACCATAAGAACACCCATGTAAGGGGAAAAAAAAAAAACGAACCACTGAGTTTGATCAGAATTCAATACGGTGCATACTTTTTAGATGATTAAAAAGTACCGAGATATTCTCTCCTAGTTCAAAATATTTGAGAGCATTTATCGTGTTTTTGTAAAACAAAGAGTTACTTTTTGAATTATCCATTCTAACTTGTCTTCAATTCCTAAAGAGATCAGGAAAAAAAAACCTTATGAGCTTACAATCAGGCTTATCTTAAGCTGTATTTCAGGAAGCTAATTATACGAAACAACTAAATATCCATGGAACCCAAATTTCAAAAGTAGAAGTTACAGAAATTTGATAAGTTACTTCCATATATAAATATAGGATTCTATTAGATCTTAATCCCGTAGACGTTTGATTCATAGATTTAGAATCATAATTTAAAATTATTCTCAATTAACGTGTATTTTTTATGAGAAAAAATATTATAGCGAACTACGAATTAAATCTACTAATCAGACGCACGTTTAAATGCTCTCACATTTCCTTAACTGTGAAATAACTTCTCAACTTTGAAATTGTACAGCTAGTATTAGTCTAATATGATATAAACTGGTATATATTCAGCGACAGCATTTATGTTTTGAGTACCTCTCATCATATCATAGAAAAATAATAGGAAGAAAAAACATATTCGACATCCTTGACAAAAAAAAATTATAAAAAAGAAAGGAAGAAAAAAAAAAAGGAAATTAAATCTAACGACACGACGTTCGATTGAGATGAGATAGACAATTGGTGGGGAAATCATCTTGCTCATATAGTCGTAGGCTTCCATAATAAGACAAATTAATCAAACTGCTTTTTACTTGCTTTGGTTGTTTTTATGCTGACTAAAACTAGCAAATTTTGCAGATGCCAATTTAAACAACATATAAAGGATCTTCCCTTTTGTTGGGGGGGACTCGAATTTTTTTTTTCCTAAAGTTTTTCTAATTTCTGATAAGTTGTGGAGTATATCCCAGAAAAATATTTATAGTACAAGCAGTTCCAAGGAAAAAAAAAAAAAATATTATACCATCCTTATCTTTTCTCTTTTTTTTTTCAGTTATTTTTAGTTCAAAAACTTATCCTAAAAATTTAATTGGGGCAGAAAACTCTCATTATGTTCATATACGTACAATAAATGCTCCTATAATTCGGCAAACACGGAGCTCTATTATTGCCCATCTTCCATTAAATGCTCCTATTTCTCATCATCAATTTCCTTGCATTTAATTATTAATATTATTTGATTTTCTACTAATTGACCAACTGTTTCTTCTTCCTTTCTTTCTTTCTTTCCATTTTTTTTAACTGTCGTCCGTACAATCACTAATAGTCAAATGATACAAATTGGTGCAAATACTAAACTAGCCTTCCAAACGTGCAACTCTGAACACATACTTTTGCAATAGAAGGTCATCTTGTGAGGGTAACATTAGTCATTTCCTTACTAAAACGTTGGCCCTACTATTTAGTGTGAAGGAGACGCCGTGAAAGCGCTGTGAAGTGAACAACGCCATATGTAATAGTTTCAAAGAAGGGAAGAAAATTGATATTAAAAAAAAAAAAAAAAGACAGGAAGAAAAAGAAAGAAAAAACAAATAAATCAATTAAGGCTAAAAGTTTAAAGGGGTACGTGGCAGTAACCCACGTTGGTTACAGCTAATATGAAACCACAAAGGCAGGAGTGACACGCTCCCGCCGGAAAACGATAGCCCTAATAACATCTCCATGAAATATATAGCTAGGGAAGATATATAAATAAACCCCATAAAATTATATTTAAAAAAAAAAAAAAAAAGCAGAAGAAGAAAAGATAGTGAGTGATAGAGAAATTAGATGGTCATGGGAGTTTTTATTTATTTTTAGATGGTCAGAAGAAGAGGTACAATTTTTCTCAAAGGAGAAGGGACACGTCGCCATATATAGCGATAAACGGAGGACGGCACCGAATCCTTTTGACTTCTCATTGTTTCTTACCCTTAATCCTTTCCCTTGCTATTTATACCAAGTACGTTCTCATAGGACCCTACTTCTCTCTCCCTCTCTCTCTCTCTCTCTCTCTCTCTCTCTCAACTCTCTACTAATTCAAAATCTTCCTCTCTTCTCTCCTAATTCCTTAATACATAGCAAAGCAAATTATACTTTCTTAGAGGATTATTTAAACTAAACCTGCTAGGCTAAAGATTTTCTACATACCAAAAATTAACTGCACCATGGGACGAGCACCTTGTTGTGAAAAAAATGGTCTCAAGAAAGGGCCTTGGACTCCGGAGGAGGACCAAAAATTGGTCGATTATATTCAGGAAAATGGCTACGGAAACTGGAGAACACTCCCTAAGAATGCAGGTATGTGTGTGTGTATATATATATATATATATATATATATCATTGTGAACTTGGTCGTTATAAATTTGCATGGCGAAGTTTGTTAATGATTTCTCTTTTTTTTTTTTGGTTATGTTTATATATATATATATATATATAGGATTGCAAAGGTGTGGAAAGAGCTGCCGACTTCGATGGACAAACTATCTGAGACCAGATATCAAGCGAGGGAGATTTTCATTTGAAGAGGAAGAGACTATTATTCAGCTTCACAGCATATTAGGCAACAAGTAAGCGTAATTATAAATTTATAACACCTTTCTGTAGAATTATACGTGGCACTTTAGAAATTAATTAATATAATATGTTTTAACTTTTTTTGGCTACATTTGAAGGTGGTCTGCAATTGCTGCTCGGTTGCCGGGAAGAACCGACAACGAAATCAAGAACTACTGGAACACCCACATAAGAAAAAGGCTTCTCCGAATGGGAATTGATCCGGTGACGCACAGTCCACGGCTGGATCTCCTAGACCTCTCATCAATCCTAGGCTCTTCTCTCTACAACTCATCATCACCACATGATCAGATGAACAACATGACGAGGTTGCTCGGACATCCCGGTCACATAGTAAACCCCGAACTCCTGAAGCTAGCCACTTCTCTCATGTCATCAACTTCTCACCGTAACAACCATAACAGTTTCTTCCTTCAAAATGATCATCATCATGACCAAAACCATATTTTTGGTGGTATTAATAATAATTACAACAATCCCCAATTCCAACAACTTAATGTCCAAAGTACTAGTACTGCTGGTACTAACCAGTATAATTTCCGAGCCCCACTTGATCATCGCCACCATCATCAAGAAATCCAAGCCTGTCCCACTTTGGAAAATCCCAACAACGTTGACCTATCAAACCTCACGAGTTTCAGCTCTCCAAGCTCCCAAATGAGCGAGTGGCAAAGTAGTACTTTTAATGAAGACTATGTTCCTTTGTTACCAAGTTACAGTACTGTTTGGGATCCTAATTCGTCTGAAACCTCGGCAACTTTCGGCCAGTCCAACCAGAACAATTTCGGTTTCGCTACGACGTCGGTTTTGTCGACGCCTTCTTCGAGCCCCACGGCGAGGTTGAACTCGAACTCGACGACGACGACGTACTTGAATAGTGGCAGCACGGAGGACGAACGTGAAATTATTAGCTACTGCAGTGACATGTTGAAGTTTGAAATCTCAGATATCTTGGATGTTAATGAGTTCATGTAATTTTAATAATGTTTTGGAATGAAAGGAAAGCTCAGGATTAAACTGATCCAAGAGAGATCGATTTTTTTTTTTTTTCCTTTTCTTTTCTTTCAAAGTTTCTAGGTCTTGGATTTTGTGGCCGTGTTATTGATGCGTGTAAAATTTGACTAATAATTTATTTGTTTTATCTTCGTAAGCTTACTGTATTGGGAAGAAATAAATCTAGCTTAGCTAGCTCCTTAGTTTTTTTAAATGGGAATTTCCATTATTGATCAAATGACATGATATTGTCCTTTTCTTTTCTTATCATGATCAATATGTTATTATATATTTTACATAAATGATGATTTACGTCAATGATAAGAGACACGTGAATAAACTATTTAAAGGATCTTTTGAGCTATGAATTAAATCATATATATATATATATGAATAAGAAAATCAAATTACCATAAATATCTCCGAGTATAAAATTATGCTTTTTTTAATACGTACTCACAAGAAGTGCACAAATTTAATAAATGTAAGCCCTTCCCTAAATGGACGATGCGAATATCGTTATGATATATCAGTGAATAAAATATTAATATTCCCCTCTTAAATTAATAGAACACATTCAACAAAGACAAGCACCGCTTAATAACTTAGCATAAAATTTTGAACACTTCACTAAGTGGTATTAGGTATGATTCATTCAGTACTATTAGTCGGAGTAGATCATAAAACTTTAGCATCTCGAATGTAATTAAATCATGATACAAACTCAATTACTACTATATATATAATATATATAGAAAAGCTATTTTTTTTCTATATAGTTTACCTGTATTTGCTAATTAGAGAAAAAAAAAAGAAGAAGAATTTTACGGTATTCACATTCATCTTTTTGGAGCTTTTGACGGAAAGGACTTACTGCTTGTACGTGTATTTAAACATGTAATTAAAATCACATCAAAATAAAAAAATTAGGCAAGAACTTATAGAATTTGATTGAACAAAATTGAAAACCTATATATAATATAGGTTTCATAGATACCGACAGTGATTGCCGGAGAACGGAAAGCCGACACCTGTCGATCCACCTGTAAGGCTAATTGTCGTTTTCACGTACTAATAAAGTAATAATTTGGATGGGGGATTATTTATCATTGTAATGTGAGTTTGACGAAAATGTTAGATACGTGTCGAGAGACAAGCGGCGACCATTGTTACGGGGACCACTTTAAAATAAAGCAAGTGTTTTGCTTTATTAAAAATTACGGCATGGGTCTTGTGCTTGTTTTGTCTCCTTTATCCTATATTAATTGCCTCACAATGTCAAAACAAGGAACCTAATGTTGATGACGTCATCTTTCGGTACACGTGGACTCAATAATGCAGAGGTGGGGCCCAAAGTTTGGGGCCTGTTGACCACTTGAACGGCCCGCGGTTGCAAAAGCAAGGGGAACCTTTTGGGTTCTTATCCGGTTGGGTTTCGCTTTTTGACTGGAAGAGTCGATCGGCGATTATTGATTAGTGGCCTTTTAGCTAATCATACCTTTAATCCATCAGGTGATAACTACACATGTTCATTTTATTAATTCGAGCTTATAATTTAAATTTTATTATAGTAAAAAATTCTTAATAAATAATTATATTTAATTTTTTTATTATAGTAAAAATCTCTCACATAAAGTCACATCTCAACTTAAATTAAAAATTTAAATCAACGAACTAAACGAGCCTTAAATAAACGTAGAAAGTACGGTATTAGTTTTGAAATTTTAATGCCACATGACAATATCTTTGTTCCTCTATTGTCTTTGGCCTTTTGACTTTGTTATATTATATGCTCCAAATTAAGCTGGTTTCACTTATTAATTAATTAGACATTGTATAGACATGAGAGAAACGAAAAGTTTACACAACTAACGCACTAAAAATGATTGATATGCTCTGTCCAAAAATTTTTCGGTTCGTCTCAAGTTTACACACTTGTCTCAATGTTGCTTAGCAGTTTTGGCATTAAACGTACCTCTTTCGAGAGTAATTTTGAGTACGGAAAGATCAAAGGGTTTTGTTTGTAAATACATAGAGCTTGCCTATGTTTATATCATAAAAAAAAGATATTAGTATTAATTAGTTTTGCAGACGACTAATTAAAGCACAGGAACTTGGATAATATTAGTGGAATGTGCACGTTAGTCAGAGACTTAATTCGCAATTAGACATAAAAAAACATATTAAAATTAGCGAGCGAGTAATTGGTAAAAGAAACTATATGTAGATGTATGACTCGAATTCCACTAGCTACCACCAAACCAAAAATTGGAAGCAAATTCAAAAGGTATTTTCAAATTTCGGCTATGAAATGAAATGCACAAATGTGCGCTTTACATCTTTTTCATGCAATCTTGATCCTTAAATCATCAGCTAGCTCACACTCACCATTCATGGTCGCGTCGTCACAATATATATATATATATATATATATTGGTGCCTTAATTCGGCTTGAACGTAAATCTTTTCAACCCACAAGGAAACAAATTTGGTGTCTCCTATGGCGGGTCCCATGTTCATGATTTATATGGTCGTTTCGAAAATATGCTGTGTTCTTATATGATTATATTTGTGTCCCACTGTCCTCGGCTTAGGAATGTCTTTCTCCACGCGTCTCTAGACTCTAAAATTACGCCCACTCTGCAGTTTGCACATGCAATGTTAAATTTTGATCTGTCACATTGAACTCGTTGCTCTTTGAAGAACGAGTTTTTTTCCTTCATTTAATTTCAATGGTTGAATTATCTCATCACCATCTTAAAAGGGAAAAAAGACACACACACATATAAATATATATATTACACATTTATGTAATTTACAGTTAAGGATCTCCTTTTTTAGTATGATTAATAATTCATTTATGAAACATGTAATATATCATATGTATATCAATGCATGCATGTGTGTGTCTATATATGTAAGTAGCCACCGAACTGAAAGATAATCTTTTGTAGACAGAAGGCTTTTTTTTTATTTATTTTTTTTTATTACAACGTGGCTATTTATTTTCTAAAACGAGTAGTGCATATAAGAAATTAATGCGATTATATGTTATGGTCAACTATTGTCAAGAAAAACAACAACCACAAATATTAAGCGTCAATTTGATCGCCAAGCTAGCGAGAGAGAGCCTAAACTTGCGTACGTCCAGTTAAAATTACGGCCGACTCTCTTCAAGGTCAAAGAGATCGTCAATTACGTAAGCTATACGTCATTTATCCTGCAAACCAAATTATTGCATTTACACAAACGAAAAAGTATGAATTTCACGCCCCAATATTGACCTTACAATCAAATTTGTTTCTTGATATATCTCATGGTCACGTTGTAAATATAGTAGTGAGCTTTTTTTATTGAGATATTAGAAAAAATAAATTATTAATAATTTTTTATTCTTAATCATTCTGTATTAAAACTTATCTATTTTATATTTTTTTAATTTAATATAATTTTAATTTAGTTGAATTGATCAGAAATTTACACTATCGACGACATGATTAGCCTACTAAAAAGAACTCTCATATAATGATCATGTATAAAAGCTAGCAATGATGATGAAAAGATCAAATTTGGATCCTTATACGTGTCCGAAGGCGCAATATTTGATCTCATATGAACGGAAGTAGAAGACAAATTTTGGATATAAATAGTACGGCTACACTTTGAATACCAGCTAACCGACCATAATACAAAAAGGACAGATCATGAGACCCTTCACTTCTCAACATCTCGTTTTCTCTCTCGACCGCCCAAAGAAAAAGCTCTTCATTGTTTTGAACAACTATTTAAAGTTGGTTTGTGTCTTTGCGTGCGCAAGCTTTTTCTTTTTTAACGCTAACTTCTACGATAATATATATATATATATATTTTTTCCTGTCATCTGTCATGGTATTTCCATTCCTTCCAATCACTTTAGAAATCTCAGAATCCACTAATAAAACAAAAATATCAATGGGCTTAAGTTTTCGCTTATACAACCACATGTTGGTGGTTTCTACAAAAATATTTATACCATTGCCATTTGCACAATCACTTTAGAAATCTCAGAATCCACTGATAAAATGAAAATATCAATGGGCTTAAGTTTTCGCTTATACCACCACATGTTGGTGGTTTCTACAAAAATATTTATACCATTGCCATTTGCATGTAATAATTTCCTTGTGTTTCCTTATCGGCACTATTATGTAAGGAGAAAAATGTGTGCGCTAAAACGGAAATGGCTAACGCCAATGGCCAAATGGGGCCTGATCCCGAAAAATTTTCATTGTAAAGTGATGCCCCAGATTGACTTAGGAGCTGTATTTTGGAGGCTAGCTAGCTTGATTAATCTTCGGATTACTTGGAAACTATTAGTTTCAAATTAAGGAATAAGATATATTAGACTTATATATCATTTGTCCATTTTTGCGGCGTTGTCCTCTATATAAAATTGATTGCTTCACGGTAATTGATTTTTTTTTTAAATAAAAAATAAAAATATAAACTGGGGGTGATTTAAAAGCAGGCAAAAAACCATTTTGTCACCTCAACAGATGTACGTATATGTTCCAAGCTTTACTTGCAATGGCGCGTCTACAATTCATGCACGTCACTTTTTACTTAGGAGTCATTCACTTCGTAAATTATACTCAAATAAACTCAATTTGAGTGTAAAATTAGGCCGAATTATGCGTTTACTAAACGCAACTTAAATTTTAAACTCGAGTAATAACTCGAGTTGGTGAGTTTCATCCACTCATTATTTTCTCATTACTCAAGTTTAGTTCTACAATGCAGATTGTTCCTACAAAAAATGATACTTCTTTGTAATTAGAATTTAACTTTAATACAAGTGAATATAAAACTCAAGTTTTAAATGTTAAATCAATCTACTCCTAACTCAAAGTCTAAATTAAATTTAAAATTTGTGTAACTCATATTCACTTTTTTAACTCAAATCAACAAATTTAAGTTAGTGAGGTGAACACATTCTTATTTTCCCCTCATTATCATCTGTTATAATTGGTCTTTGTGAAATAAAGTAGACGCTCTCCTTTTTTGTTGAGTGGTTTTACGGTCGGTCACTTCAATGAGCATTTTTTCTCTCTTTTCTT